GCGCACTACTTTGCCACTTAAACGCGAACGCGCTGCAAAAACACGCACACAAAATAACAACAACAACAAGTTAAACGTGCTACAAAACGTTATGCAGCGCAGACTGATTTATTATAATTAATTTATTGGAGAAAATATAGGCATTGCGTTCAAGCGGTCATTAAACACACACGCACACATACACATATCTGGCACACATATATGGCAAAACATAAGTTTGTGTATGTGGCTCACATGTGTGGTTATGTAGCTGTCAGCATCCACATGCCAGCAGCTAGCGAATGTACGTCGGACCAACCGACCGCCGACTGTCGAGCGCAGTGCAAATGCCGGCAGCGCTTACAGCTTGATTCAGGAGCGACGCTTTTCTCGCTTCAACAATTTCAGCGCAATTAATTTGCTTTTGATTAATGCTAAAACTTTTTTACTTCGCTTTGAATAATTTCTGTCAGCAAAGCGAGGCAAACAAACAACAGAAAACAATAACAAATATACACACATACACACCTACAGCTGTGTGCAAGTGTGTATGTAAGAAATGTTGGTAGCCAACAAACGATCAATTTGCCCAACGTTTTAGGCCAACACGCGCGCGCTCTCACCTTACTACGCGCTGCCAAAAGCTGGCTAGCAGCACTTGCCTCTTCTTCTTCTGCTTCTTTTACCTCTGCTGCTTACTTCTAGCTTGCTTTTTGCTGCAGCTGCCACTGTTTAGTTGCGTTTTCTTTCTTTATTTTTTTTGTGTTTATCTTTTGCGCTTTACATATATACGCTTGTTGAAAAAAATTCAAATCACCGACGACGTAAACTCAACGCGACCGCGTTCCCGAGCCGTTCAACAGTTACTGAGCTGCTCTGGCCGTCAACTGTTTCGCCGCTGAGCGGCTAGGGAGCCATCTAACCATAAGTGCGCTCTTACCGCCAACAAAGTGATTCAACTCAACCAGCTCAACGACCAAAAGCAGTCGCAGCAGTCAGTCAATCTGGCTGGCGCTTTTGGCTTTGCCCGCACTCTTTCGCCAGCTTATGTTTTGCGCTTAATCTTTAGCGCGCTCCACGCCACATCCGCAGCGACGTGCTCGTTGTACACACCGACACACCAAAAGTACAGACCTGAGTAGATAAGTGATTGGCATTGTGTTTTTTTTTTTTTTTTTGTTGATTTTGTGTAGAAAATGAGTAGGCTGTAAATGAGCCAAACGCACAAGCACACAAACCCTCAACCAGTTAGACGCCCCACCAACCTGCCAGGTAGGTATTGCATCCGTCAAACACTCGGCAATCAGTCAGGCATTGAATGGTTTTTTTTCTCTCTTTCTTTTCATTTTCGTCATTTCAGCTTGGTTAGTTATCATTTTGCTTTTGCTTCACATTCTGGCCAAATGTAGTGTGTGCTGCTCACATCATTCTTTCACCGTGCTTTATTGTTTTTCTATTTGCTCTCTGCTACGCTCTGTGCTTGACGAACGTGTTACGAAGTAGTGCGTTGTGTTCGTCGCTAACTCTGCTGTTAAGCGGCCACTGATCGCAGCTCAGTTAACCGCTTTTATGTAGCGCTCATGCGCTCTCTCGTTAGCCATAGCCAAGCGATTGAAATGCTGCCTGAACTCCAGGCGTTCAAATTGACGCATGCAATTTGTTGCCAAATCTAATTTTGTGAAAATCGTTTAATCTCCGTAATTATAAGCAAACAAATTGTCATTTCTATCCGCCGATTTATCTCTCTTTTGAGCATCAAAATGTCAAACTTGAAAACAGTTTCTCATTTCTCTTTAGAGCCATTAATTTTAACTCCAAATCAAGTCTCCCAACAAGGCCAGCAGTAAATCTCTTACGTTAGTCTTACTTTGAGAGCGCTGCGCTAGCTGGCTTAAAAGCCTGCCGAACCCAGTCAATGCCCTGTTAGCTGATGTTAGACAATGTTGGTCGAGGTAATGGACTTGAGTTCAATTTTTCATTGACGCTTTTAAGAATGGTAGACATGAGTAAAGACAAATATGTTAAAGATTAAAAAAAAAATATTTATTCAAATTTCAAACATGACTTTCAGTAAAGTTCAAAAAATGTATTTGATACTCAATTTCGACATTCCTCTTTCACAAATTAATTTAAAGGGGACTATTTACACCCTGTACAGGGTATATTAAGTATGCCACGCAGTTTGTAACACCAAAAAGAAAAGGGCGGAGACGCTATAAAATATATATATAAATGATCAGCATGCTGAGCTGAGGCGATTTAGCCATATTCGTCTGTCTCTCTGTATATACGTGCGCTAGTCACTCAGTTTTTGAGATATCGATCTGAAATTTTGCATCTGTCTCTTTTCCAGCAAGAAATTGCTCATGTATTGGAACGACCGATTTCGGACCACTGTAGCTTATAGCTGCCATACAAACTAAACAAGTGAAGTGCTTGTATGGAAAATTCTTTCATTTGACGCGATATCTTCACAAAATGTCGCATCGGTTATTGTCTAAGACAATAACGTAATCTCCCAAAAAATTGTACAGATCAAATCACTATAGCATACAGCTGCCATACAAACTGAACAATCGGAATCAAGTTTTACGGAACCTTTTGTATTTATGAGGGGTATTATAGCTTTGCCGCACTCGCTTTCCTGATTGGAGCTTTAATATTCAGCAGACTGCTTTTAAATTTCTTTTCATTTAAACTTTTTCCTACAGGCCATTCATCCACACGGTAATTCACTCATTGCTCACTCAACATCTCACACAACGGCGTTCATTCCGTTATCATACGGCTAAACGGCACTTATCAGCGAAGTAGGTCAAAAATTTCAACGAAAAATGTTGACAACAATTTAGTGGCTTCATCTACACAGATAATGATGGCGATAGAGGTACGCTCTCGAAACTTAGGTACCATTTATTGCAGTAAAATAGGCACAGAAATCATATAGCTTTTTCAAGTTTTTCTGGGGAATCTGGCTCTCATATTTTTAAGGTTCGTCGGGTGTTGTGTGGGCGGAACATATATTTGCTGTATTGACCTCATTAGGTGATCTGCATAGGCTGAGAAAATGCAACCCTGTATATTACACTGAAAGTCAAAACAGCGCTAAAAGCGGAAGTAGATATAGACTCAGGCAATGCGAAAACGTCCCAAAACACAAAGCATTTACAATACAACGCAACCCTTGCCGACATTCAAAACTATTTAGTCCGCCGCAAAACTCATCTACATAATAAAGTTATTCAAGCGCTGAGAATTCACATCGCATGCCCTGTGCCGACCTTTATCCCACAGGTCTACATATGTATGTATGTATGAATTGGAAAATGTACTCATTTGTGCAGTCGCCCAGCGCGCAATGACTGTGTGGTCAGTTTGAGTCATTGAGCAAGCAAAAAAGCCAACCGCACAGCAGAGCAATCGAGCAAACGGAAACGGAAGTGCACACTAAACGATGAGCTGGAAAGCCGCGGCAGGTGAGTCTTTATTGGCATGCAACAAGCACGTGAATAGCGGCGCGAGGAGCATAAATATTAAATGCGCATTCATTTGCGAAACTTGCCTAGGCCGCTAAGGCCGCAACACACACACACACACCTACAAAACTATTTATTGAAAGTTATGCCAGCTCAGCGATGCTAAACGCCGACTAAAGCGCGCTGTACGTATTGCGCTTTTCCCATAGATTATGCAGGCTTGCCATTTGCCGCTCTTGTGGTCGCTTTGGAGGCGCTGCGCCAGCACGCGGTGGCAGCGGCAGCGCTGCGCCTATGATTGCCAATTGATGGCATCGCTAATTGCTGGCATTTTGCCTTTGCACACGCGTTGGCAGGCAGGGGTGAATCGCGCTCTGTATGTGCGTATTTATGTGTGCGCGTGCAGTTAGAAGGCACCACACGGCGTATGAGTGCTTAATGAAACGAATAGGTGTTGCAGGTAAAAGTGCGCGCGGGAAAACGCAAAAGCATACGTTTCAGAGCCTGTGTAGAGCGAAGAAGGCTGGCTCAAGTGGTTGCAGCTGCTTGCCGTATAAAAGTGCGCGTTTGATTGCTGATTGTGGTCATTAGTGGATGTGGCACGGCGGATTTGATGAATTGAGGTCGGCCTGACTGGTTTTACGGTAAATTAAAGCTTTAGTTCATGTGGGAAACAAGCAAAGGCTCTAACTTTGTAGTGGGGCGGAAACATAGCAGCTATTGATGATAAATGCTTAGAGCGTTTGAGCAAATATTGACATTTTTCGCTATGCTATTGAACCAAAGTTACAGAAAATGTTAGAAAAGTGATAACTGTGCACTTCACTAGTCACTGCCAGCTTATAAACTTTAAACTCTTGTAATATGATTCCAAAGTTCGTTAACTAGGTGCATTATGAAAGCGCGTGGTGGCAATATTTCGTCTGAGCAGGGAGAAAGATAGAGAAAACAAATAAAACCAAAGTAGTGGAGAATCATAGTTCAGGCAAATAACCGCACTGGCTGTCGCTCTGCCATCTTACAACAGTATGTTCCTCGGAGCTTTCGGTATCACAAACAGCAACAAATCCTCCAAGAGTGCCTACAGTTCCACGAAAGCAAAGATTTTGGGGTTTTAGAGCATAGCAAGGAAGGAAGGAAATTTGAGCTCCCAAAACTACTCCACTATGCGCAAGATACGTGGTTGACAATGGATTAATGTAAAGCAAACAAAGAACGTTAAGTGAAACTATAACATTTCTTTAGCGCTTTCGTTAAGAAGACAAGCTCATGGCGAAATGCAAAGCGAATAATAGAAAAATATATATAGCGAGGATATGAGCAAGGTAAGGCCTTACACCATCATCAATAGGGTATATAAGCGGAGAAAACTCCAGTAAAATGCTAATATAATACTAAAATTATCAATGAGGAAAGCTCTTAACTCTCTAGGCAGTGGAGTGATATATCACTTAAAAAAACTTGACAATCTTAGATCTATATATATTGAAATGTCAACTGACTGCCAAAAAATCAATTATAACATTTTTTACATCTAGCACTTACCCAATCTGGTGTCATTCTTCTTACGCACACGCAGGCAGATGGTGCAGGATTTTATGCACTGCAAGGTGAGAAAAGAACATATAAAATAAGAAAACCGTTAAACAATATTGCGAAAATAAACTTATACTTGCTGAATTACTTACCTCATAGATGTGGCGTATAATTTCCGCATAGGAGATATTCTCCAAGGTCAGACCGTTGACCTCGAGTATCTCATCGCCCACTTCCAGATTATCGCGATCGGGCGGTGAGCCGTACAACTTGATTTTGCCTTCAACATTTTTCACTAATATAATAACGTAGCCCGATAACTCGACAACCTGTTGCTGCAAAGCGAAAAAGAGCGGGAAGAGGTAGAGAGCGTTATTAATGCAAAGTTTGCTTATTGCGCATATTTACTTAAATTTAATATTAATTCCTGTTATGTAATGAATTTATAGATGGAAATGTGCACACACACAGCTATAGACAAATAGACATATTATATTAACATTTGCTTGCAAATTCAGCGGTAGACGTGGCGTATACGTAACCAAATCAATGCCTTGCAGAGACACCAACGAAATTACGCCTCAATGCGCGCACATGTGGCTCACGAAACTCGTAGGTATGTGTGTGCGTGTGTGCGAGCACTATAGCAGCCTTTTAGGCGTTCGTAATTAAACCATAAACTACTTAATGACCATATGTGAGCGTGTGCGAGTGTGTGTGTGTGCGTGTGCGTCTACAACTAACCAACTATGAGTTCATGTGTGTGTGTGTGTGTGTGGATGCGTGTCTGTCTAATAACACATAACTTAAACGAAAATTAATCTTATTTACATTACATAACCACACTTAGGCGCACACACACAGCTGCAAGCATGTATTCCCAGCGCTAAGGAAGTAAGTACCGGTCGGCTCTAGCTGTCAACACACACGAATTTATGGTAAAAATCAACAGCCACGTTAATTACAACAAATTACTGGCATATCCTTTGTCATTATCCTATTTGCTTTCACCACTTCAAAAAACCTTAAACAGAAATGACAAGTGAATGAAGGCAAATGCCAACCAACAACAACAAAATGTCGGAGAAAATTATTGCGAGGCAGAAAAAAATGCGCAAACTGGATAAAAACATAAAATTGCAGTTGGTCAAGACTGGCGACGGCCGAGCACCCTTGAGGCTATCATTCGCTGCCACAACACTACAACACACAAATGCCAGCAAGTACAAACGTGTGTGTGTGTGTGTTGCTGTAATGTTTGCTGCTAACATCGTACTTGCTGGCATTATAAAGCAATACTAATTGCCTGCACAGCAGACTAAGGCAATAGCAACAACAAGAGCAATAGCAGCAATCGCAACAACAGCGGTAGCAGCAGCGCCGTGAAATACAGTTGGGCAATTAGCAATACCTGACTGCGTTTAAGCGCCACAACTACCCAGGCGCTGGTGGACTAGGCACTGGACACTAGGCCGTAGCGCTATGGTAACAAATGATGGCACCTACTCGACCGCAAAAGTGAAATTAACGGCAGCAAAATTCGTAGGGCGCTAGCTAATGCAACGACAACAAAAACAACTGCACAAAATGAAACTGTAAATGAAAGTGTAGATGATGTGGGAAACATAAATGACTAATAAAGCGTGTGTAGAGTGTGTGGCACACAGTTGCTCATAAACTATGACGGCAAGCTTTCACATGTGACAGCTGTAAGCTCACCCTCTACTAAGCAACCTTCGAGCATAAATACAGCACAGCTTGCGCAGAGTTTAAAAGAGCCACGTTTGAAGCCTACTTTTTTTTATATGCTTTTCGCTTTTCTCAACGCGTTTCGATATAAGAGTTTAATGTATATTAGGGTGGAGCAAAAAAAAGTGACTAGGCCGCCTATAGCTGGTAAAATTTTCTCTTTTTTCAAAAATTTTATTTTATTATTATCTACAAATTTGACCCTCTGGCTAAGCAAAACAAACAAAAATGTTCGCGCCACCCTAATGTATATAGAAAGCGAATGAGTCATAAAGCCCAAACATTTGGAAAAAATGCAATTAATAGCGCCGTGGATTCATTATTTTATTGCTATGATTTTTAATGTCTTGAAATTCACATCAGGTTTATGGAAATCATTAGTCAATGCGCTTTCATAAGCGCTTCAAAGCTATGTCAGTGTTGATACCCAAATTTCGTCGCTTTCACAATTTCGAGTGTTAATTCTTGTGCCTTTTGGTGTCATCTATTGTCACAGGCTACAATTTACGGCTCTACGTTGCCAGTTCTTTTTGGTTTCTCATTTAGACTCCAAGTCAAAAGTCACTACCTTTCTATAGAACTTGCAGCAGGTAACGCACTGATGCTATAAGATTTGTAATAATTTCAATGTCTAGGATTAGACAGTAGAGTCTCTGAGTTATATTTATGTTAGCAGTAGCCATCAAAGCTCTTTTTTGGGTCAGTTACATAGCTTGAGCCGCCTCTTCTGTAACAGATACTCCGTAAAAGGTTAATTATACCAAAGTACAAACGTACAATGCTTTCGTGCCCTTTCGGGTTACGTCGACACGGCTGTCAGCGAACATTCGAAGGACTAATTTGATCGGCTTTCTTTATATAAAAGTCTCATTAGTGCTTAGTAAAACTTCTTCATAATCTTTAAAACTTATGGATTTTCGTTGTTTGCTATCTTGATTTCAATTTGAAGGCAAAAACAAAACCAAAATTTCTACAAAAGGCGACGAGTGATAGTGTAGCAAGAAAGCAACGAACTTTGATCAAACTGTATTGAGATGAAGAGCTCAGTTGTTTTAAAAACCACCGCAAATGGTGTAAAAGAGTTTAGTAGTAATTAGAGCAAGATATTTCCAATCATTGCAGTGATTTTAGAAGAAAGCAATTGTTTTTCAGCAAATCCGCTTGATTATCTCAATTATGGATTTTCAATGTTTTAAACAAGCAAATCCGTTAGGATATCTCAATGAATGCGAAACTTAAATTAGTTCATTATCGACTCGTGCCTTTGACTTGGAATCATGTTCGCACCGTTCAAATGTTGGCCACTGTCCGTTACCTCTTTCCATGGCCGCAAATCTGCTCGCTTCTTTGCAAACCTTTTCCTGGCAAAAACATTAAGAGATTTCATCGCTATTGTAAAGCATTTGGAACCAAATGTTAATTCAACAAAGATAAAAGTTCTCAAAAAGCCATTAGAGCAACAATAAAACTTTATAATTGCGCCAAAATGAGGCAAACGAAGCGTCCACACAAAATCGAGGCAAACAAAGTGGTGCTGCGAGCGGAAATAACAATAGCTGCGGAAGTGGAAGTAAATGTCACAAGCAGACGCCACAGCAGCAAAGTATGACCAAACTACGGAGGTGAAAGGTCAGCGCAAGCGAAAAATAAAACTGTGGCGCTTAAGGAGACAATTAGCAGCAAAAGCTTGAGGGCGCGGAACCGATAAAAGTAGATACGAATCTCCATGAGTTTAAATGACGGACATCAAAGACTATAAATTGTGCAAAACTTAACATTAACGGCAGCTCACAGTGCCAAAAACAAAATTTAAAACAGACACAAACACAAAGTGTAAAGCGAGTGCTTATAGGAATTGCTAATTTAAAAATGCAACAAAAGCACGACCTGCAACTCAACAGCGGCGCATACAAAACGAGAGAAGAAAGAAGGTGCACAAAATGGCCTAAAAGCTGTGCCAAGTGCCAGGAAAGTAGGTGCTCGACAACAAAAGCAAATCTCTTCAACAACAAACGGCACAGCGCAACAATTGCCGCAGCAACAAGCAAACAAACAAAGCAAACTAACGACGAACGAACGTCAGGCGACTTAACGCTAAGCGTTGCATGGTGTGGCACGAGTTACGCAGGTGTCGCGGTGATGGGCTGCTCAGGGCCGCCCAACAGAGTTCAAGCCGTGAAAGGGGCATGAGCGAAGTAGGCACAAATGGAGGCCGCCTGTGCTGTGTAGCGCAAACAGCGGCGCATAATTGGAACACAACTATTTCACTAGCAGCGCTGACTTATTTAAGCGCGTTGCTGCTGCTGTTAAATGCCGTCCCAGCCAGCCAGCCTGTTGGCAGTGCGCCAGCAATGTGGACAAGCTAACAATCGACCGTTCAACACGACACTGACGACGAGTGGGCGCACAACAACAACGAATACTATTCTGTATACAGCAGACAGCAGGCAGCATGCATTTGATTGCACTTTGTGGCAGCGCATGCAGCCCCGCCCACTCTTTCTACACTTCTACAGTTAAAAATCATAAAATCAACGCTGTTGTCGTCTGCATGTTGCAGCGCTTGTCGCTTGGAAGGTGTCGCTGCTGATTGCTGGCCTCCTTGCATGGCTGACACTCTAATACGAACAATACTAATGCTTTGTTGTTGGCATTGGCAGTGCAATTGCACTTGTTGTACTTTACACTATTGTTACATGCCATTTATGCTGTTGCCACTGCATGTTCTTGTTATTGTTGCAGCCAGCTCTATATCATTGCAATGTGCACATTGAAGCGTCCTTGTTGCCCATTGTTTTCTAGGTTGTCGCGCCGTTTTGTTTGTTTTTACATTGGTGTTGTTGTTGCTATTGTCCGTTGTTTGAGCCTTGTTACCGTGCATGTGTTGCTGTGTGTGTGCATTCGTGTTTAGCCGCACTTGAATGCCACCATGTCGCTTTGGTGCGACTCCATCGCTGTTGTCGCGCCGCGCCCACTTTATTGGTGTCAACAATGCAAACAACACGCACGTCCATTCAGCCTGCTGACATTCAAGTTGACTTGCTGACACATTTTTGTTGTTGATTTGCGTTCGCGCTAGCTTCCATGGCCTTAGCACAAGGACCTTTGCCATGTTTTTTGTTTGTTTCGTAACAAAATTTGTGCGAAAAAAGCGCGCAAAAATATGTGCAAATAAATTCGAGTCCTTTCGTTTAAATTTTTGTTTTTTGTTGTTGCTGCTTTTAAACTGTCGTTGGCATTACAAGCAGTTGCGTTATGTTGTTGCCGCTGCGGTTCGACTGCGCTGTGGTCTGTGTGGTTTTCAAGTAAATAAATTTTGTAGCTGGTGATAATTATATGAGAGAGTTAAGCTAATGTGGAAAGCACCGGATAGGTGTTAACAGGTGTTGCGTCTGGTGTATGTTGGCGCAGAGAAACGCAAAAAGCTGGCTACTGCCTGAATCACTGAAGTTCGTTAACTTGAATTGTACTTTATTAATCTTTAATACTTAGTTGCTTCCTTTACTTGTCGTCTGTTAGGCCTTTAACTTTCATTGCTGCTTTTTCTTTACTTTCGTTCACTAACTAATTGCTTTTATGCGTTTTT